GGGTCAGCTGTGGCCACTGCCCCCTGCGACTCCCGGAGCTTGTCCCCCAACAGTGCCGTCTCCCGGGCCTCAGTCTCCCTGGTGGTCCCCTTGGAGGGGGTCTGCAGGCGGGCGCAGGAGTCCGCAACCTCCCTCCAGGGTCTGCGTGACATCCACCCCCCACGCCCACAGCCTGTCCTGGTTTTCCTTTTCACACGGCAGCGCGTTTCCCCACTCGTGTGTCAGCTGAAAGCATTGTCTCCCAGCTATTTCTGTACCACTTCCAGCCCCTTGACAAATACTGCATCTAAGAAAACAAATGCTGAACTGGGGCTCCTGGGGGCCGCTCAGAAGAAACTAGATTATTTCCCATTAGGGAGCCGGTTGGTGGAGCAGAGGTGGGGCTGCAGACCCAGCCAGTGGACTCCCAGCTCCTGGTCAAGTGTTTGGTTAATCTGAACTGCTGGAAAGAATTTTCCAGGTCCCCCACCCGTGGTTACAGGTGTCTCCGGTTAGTTACAGGTGCCTCCCGTTAGCACCGGCCACCTCTTGTGCATTCCAGAGAGGAGCCAGTCCTTAATCCCATTGGCAGAGAAAGTCAGCCCCCTCGCAAGAGGGCTAGCATGTCAGAATTAAATCTGATTAAATTATTTTTGTATTTAAAAGCATTGCTCTGGCTGGTGCTGTCAAGATAGGATTTATGGACAGTGGGGACAGAGCAGAGCCTGTGAGTCTACCCTCTTCCCTTCCTGTCCTGGTGGAAATTCTAATGGCTCCCACATTGCAGTGTTGGAACGGCCATGTCCCTCCACCCATCTGGTCAGCCCCACACTGACCTCACTCACTGCACTCGCCTCTGTGACTTGAGCTTGTTTTCATCAGAAACTGGACTCTTCCTTGAGAACAAGAGGAAAACATTCTTCAGGAGAAGCAATAGCTAATGACCTACAGCCTTGGGCCCGTGCTTCCCTGTTTGTGTGAAAGAGGAGAGAACTGAGCAGGAAAGGGAAAGACAGGTCATGCTTCCAAAAAAACAGATCTGGTTGCCCAGGGCGTGCTCCGCTGCATGGGATCCTCCTGCACTCCCCTCACCCTCTGCAAAAACGCACCCCTCGCATTTTGACAGATTGGCTGTACTCTGCGTTCTGTGGTTGTGGAGGAAGGGCACGTGTGAGCAGGATGCCCCTGTCTGGGGCTACTCTGAAAATGGCCACAGAGAGCATGACCATAAGGAGAAAAGGGCTTCCTGATAAAACTGATCAAGTCGCTCAGGGTCTGTGTTAACTGGGACTTCTTGCAGCTTAAGGAGTTACTAGGAAGGAGTGAGTCACGGTGTCTCCTACGTTTTCTGCCCCCTTTCCATGATGTTGCTGACTTTGCCCTAGAATCCAGCACAAGAGGCTACTGGAAGGAAGGGAGGGGGCTCCCTTCCAAGGCCCTGGGAGGGGACTTCCCAGCAGCTATGTGTTTGTAATTTTCTATTTCTTTTTAAAAATTTAAAAAAAAATTTTTGCGGGGATGTAATTAGGTTTATTTATTTATTTATTTTAATGAAGGTACTGAAGATTGTACCCAGGACCTCGTGCATGCTAACCACATGCTCTACCACTGAGCTATATCCTGGCCCCCATTCCTTTTTAAAAAATTCTTATTTTTTATTGAAATGTAGTCAGTTTATGTTGTTAGTTTCAGGTGTTCAACAAAGCTATTCAGTTTCCTTTTTTAAAAAAAATTGCAGCAGAATTGTATAAGCTTCAGATGATATAGAACCTGGGTCCACTCCTGGGTGCAAAACAGTAATTCACTTCTCCATTATACCTGGCGGCCTTGTAAACCTCTGTGCTCACCTCATGACTTTTCTGCCACTCAGGCTTCTGCTGAGACAGGATTTCCGCCATTTTTGGCGTCATATTCATACTTACATCTGGAGTCACCTCCAAAGGCGGAGGTTTCCGAGCCAGACACTGCCTGGTGGCAGAGGCTGTGCTGCGGGCCTCTCTAGGTTTGGGTCAGAACTGGAGGTGGGAGGGTGCTTGAATGAGGGTGGTGTCTGTGGAGGGGCCAGGTCCGTGGAGGCTGTGTGGCCACCAGAGGCACGTGCTGGGAATTTTGGAGGCGGGCTCGTGCGGCTGTCAGATGGCTCAGGAGTTTGAGGCTGCTGATGCAGTGTGTGAACCAAAGCTGTGTGCTTGTCCCGTGAGGACTATCGGAAATGCTTCTGTTGTAAATTCAGTCAGGCCTTCAACAGGTCCAAGCCGGGAGTCACAGCCAACTCTGGCCCTTAGCATCTGCCAAGGAGCCTTGTCACACTTTCCTCCAGGGAGGAGGAACAGCCCTCCACGTAGATGTTCCTTTATAGCTTGACTCACCAAGGCCAGAGACACTCGTAGCTGCCTTTGACTTAGGATGCTCGACTCCTTTAAGCAAGTTCAATCTTCGGAAAGCTGGGACACAGTGCAGGGCTGTGCGGCGGTAACTGTAGCAGTAGGCTGTAGGAACAAGAGTGTCCTGCGTCCCACCCCACCCCGTGGGGCAAACGTGCGTATCTGGAACCCAGTCTTTGGTGGGTGAAGAGTTCAGGGTCCTCTGAGGACATCTGTGGCTGGTTCTGGAGGAACTGAATGGCGGGTCCGCTTCTTATCCTTCATTCACGACAGCCCCGGTGGGGGTGAGAGACTTCAGAGGATGCGACCAAGACCCAGGTGGCCAGCCAGAAAGAATCCGGCTCTGTGTCAGCGCAGGAGGCTGGGACACTTGCCCTGTTTGGGGCCCTCGGGGCTGGTGTAGCTCCTTTCCTCTGGGGGTCCCCCTGGCTCTTTCTCCTGCGCTGGGCAGCAGCTCGCATCCCCCGGGCCAGCCTCTTCCGGGGCCCGTGACCACAGGCGAGTTGGGACGGAGGCTTCCAACCGCAGTGGAGTTTAGTGCTGCTGTGCCTCACCGCGACAGGTGCCCGCTGCCGCTCTCCCCGGGGCCTGGCCGTGGCTTCCAGAGCTTCCAGAAGACGGACCTTTCTTCTTTGGGGGCTCTGCTTTTGTCTGTGGTGAGGACATGAGCCTGGAAGCGGGCACAGCGTCAGGAAGTGGGCAGTTTCCAGCCCCCAGGACTGGCTGTGAAGCAGAGACAGCCTCCCTTTACTCTGCCTCCTGCTCCCACAGAGCTCTGGGGGGTCTGACAAACTGTCTCATTGGGACTAGTCCTCCGGAGCACTAAATGCACTTGAGTCACGACCTTGTGACCCACCGCAGTGTCCCAAAGCTGTCTTCCAATTTCCCCGGGAAGACTGCATCTTGGGCCTGGCCAGAGCCCGAGTGCCAGGCTGGCCGCGGTGGGCGGAACAGATGCATTCCAGCCATGCCACCACTGGTTCTGGAAGAGCCCTTTTGTGTCCTTGTGGTCATGTGTCCATTCTAGTGCTGCCATCCGGGGCAGTGGCTCCTCCAGGCCAGGCCCGGTCATCCAGGAGCAGTGTTTTGGGAGGTTTGTGTTCTGAATGCCTGGTCGCTTACTGCTCTGTTCACATGGCTGCAGCTTTGCCTGCTTCCCTGGCTCCTTTGCTGTTTGTGATGACTTTTCTCTAGGAGAGGCTGTGGTGCAGGAGGGATGGAGTTTAGGGAGACCTGGCATTTTGCTGTCTGGGTTGTTTGTAACTTCTCTCCGGGTTTGATGTGATCCGTGGCCGGCTGCCTCAGATGAAGCTGGGCAGCCCCACTGAGACTCTGCTCCCAGCACCGTCTGTCCCCACGCTGCCACTGTTTCTGGGCTTCCCACATGTGGGTGTGCTGTGCCCGCGCTTTGCAGGAGTCGGAATCCTGCCGCAGAGCGTGTCTTACCTTTGGTGACCGCATTGTGCCTCCTGGTACCGGCTCTCCTTGTAGGGCATTTCAGCCCATTTGCACCTGCTTTGTTCCCTGTGGTCCCACCAGCTTCGGCCATATCCTCACTGTTGGACTCAGCTCGGGTGGCATGTCCTCTGCTTCTCTTGGGGCGCCGGACCCTGGATGGTCTATTAAGTCTTAAAATTCTCCTGCACCTCCTTGACTCTGTGGTTGTGATGGTTGATACTCACCCACCTTTCGTTTTTCCCAGGACACGGCCTGCTCCCTACCGTTGGCCGGAGCCCTCAGTTCTCGTCCACGAAGCCAGGCCCACCATGTTTTATGGGACCCACTTCATCATGTCCCCACCCGCCAAGAGCAAGCTGAAGCGGCAGAGCCAGCTGCTGTCCAACGTGCTGTCCCGGACGCTGAGCTACAAACACCGCGACCTGGACACCACCTTCTCCAGTCTGGGTGCCAGCGATGACCCGGCTGAGCTCTCCACCCAGCTCTCGGCCCCCGGGGTCCTGAAGGTGTTCGGGGACAGCGTCTGCACCGGCACCCACTACAAGAGCGTCCTGGCCACCGGCACGTCCAGCGCCCGGGAGCTGGTGAAGGAGGCCCTGGAGCGCTACGGCCTGAGCCCCGAGCGCGCCGGCCAGTACGTGCTGTGCGACGTGGTGGGCCGGGCTGGCGACTCCGGGCGGCAGTGGCAGGCCGAATGCTTTCGGGTGTTTGGGGACAATGAGAAGCCCCTCCTGATCCAGGAGTTATGGAAACCCCGAGAGGGCTTGTCCCGGAGGTTTGAGCTGAGGAAGAGGTCGGACGTGGAGGAGCTGGCAGCCAAAGACGTGGACACCCTGACAGCAGGTGAGGAGGGGCGAGGAGGGGGCTAAGGCGTGGGGCCATTCAGGGATGACACGGGAAGGTGTGTTTGCCCTGAAGGAGGACAGTCAGCCTCTGTCCAGGAGTCTGAGGACTCGCTCTGCAATTCAAGGCTCTGCCTGGGGCTATCTCAGCGCTGGGGTTTGTCTACACTGTGGTTTGTCTACACTGCAGGGTGCCTGCTGGTGTTCATTAGCCTCTCCTGAGGTTGTCTTGCAGTATCAAAGGGCGATTCCTCCTTTTGGTTACAGGTCGCCGTCCAGGTCTCTGGTAAGCGTGTCATGAGCTGCAGAGAGTGCCTTGTCCCACACAGGCGCAGATGCATCACAGAAAGTCCCTTAACGCCTGAGGCACTGGGGGAATCTCTGGTGAATCAAACATAAAGCTAATGGAGGAAGCGGGTGCATTCGGGGGGTGCACTGGAGTGGGGGCCGGGGCAGCGGGAGGCTGTGCTGGAGGAAGGCCCAGCCTAGAGCAGGTGGTTTCTGTCTGCCTGAGGTGGGCTGTGAGCAGTGGGCAGCTCTGAGCCCTTGCCCCAGGACCAGGGGACTCCATGGCCTGTGGGCCACTGCTTTGTGTCTGGCTTTTATTTAGTTGATGGAAACAAGTTGATTATCTGAATAGGTAAGCGCCTCAAAAAATATGCCAAAAGACTCTTAAATGTACCTCAGATCGTATTTAACTTTCTCTTAGTTTCCTATAGAAAATGGTGACTTTTCATGAGCAAGTGGCCCAGAGCAGAGGACGTTTGATGGCCTCAGGGGACTTGTCACCTGTTTCATGATACTGCAGGGTTGGAAGGGTCTTGAGCCCTCGCTGGCATCTTGTGTGCATCCCCAGGGATTGCGAGCACCCATGCTCTCTAGTTCTCTTCTGGTGTGAAGCCCACATCAACGTCTGTGTGTGAGGATGAGGGTGTGCAGGTGTTTGGACTCCCAGGGGCTGGGGTCCCGGGGCCTGACTGGGCTGTCGTGCCTTAGTCTCCTGGTCTGCAGGATGGGGCAAGCCTGCCACACCTCCCGGGCGGCCGCAGTGGCGTGCGTGGAGTTCCCGGCCCGCAGGCGCGGGAGAGCTTGGCCTGGGGGCCTGACCCGGCTATTTCCTGCACGCGGTGTGTTCTGTGCGCTCACAGCTGGTGGTGGATCAAGGACGGGGGTTAGGGTCCCTCTGACAGGACGGGGGTTTAATCAGCGACGTGCGGAGTTGCAGGCGCGGGGGATAATGGAAAGTTGACCATGTAGTGATGTTACTGTTTTTTACTCTCCTCGGAAGAGCGCCCGAATGCCCCCACCCAGAGGGGTTTGGATTTTGTCCTGACCCTGCCTTGCTGAGCTCCAGAGGCCCCTAGCTCCTTCCCCTCTTCACTCTAGAAGACGTTTGAGGGGCCGTGTTGTGTGGTGAAGGGGGCTGGTGGTCACTGTCCTGCCCAGTGTTTTCTCTGCTGGGTGGAGAGCCGAGAGCACGTGGGCTGGTCTCAGTGAGTCACTGTGCCCTGGGTCCCAGGTGGGGCCCCGGACGACCTGCTCTGTGTCGCACAGGTGATTGCTGGGGCCGGGGGTGGGGGTAGAGGGGTGGGCAGCAGAGCTGGACGGCATCTGTGCGGCGCCGGGCTTTGCCTTCTGTTCTCCGACCCCTTTCAGGCCCGTCCCTTTCACGTTCGAAGGCAGGAGAAGGCCCACAGTCTATTCAGCTTGGTGCTGTTTTGGCAAAACCTTTCAAATAAAGAGTCTATTGAACCCGACAGGTCTCACTGACACACTTCTCGGGGCTGGAAGCCGGTTGTGTTACCTGCCTGGAGCAGGCTTCCCAGGCCTCAGGGAGTTGGCCTTCCCTGCCTTGGGGTGTGGCCTGGCGGTTTGTGCCTCCTGGCTGGGCTGCCCCCTCCCTGGCCACCAAGCCCCAGAGCCCAAGTGTTGTCTGAGTGGACGGCGCCCGCCCAGCACTGGGGGCCCTGCAGATAGGCCCGCCCGGCCCAGCCCAGCCCAGCTCAGCTCGGGCCATGGGCGGGCGGGGCTTCACCGGAGCCCAGGACCTTTGAGTTAGAGTCTGTCTGGGGTCCTGATGATACATGGATACATGCAGAGAGATGTGCACCTGCTTTCACACTCACACACGTGAACACGTACGTGCATATTCACACTCTGAGGCTTTCCCTCTCACATGCACACACATATACAACAGGTGTACAGACACACGTGTGCACACGCTTTCCCTCACACTCACACACTCACTCTGAATTGTTCCTGTGTGTAAAGAACCTAGTGGATCTAGTGCGCCTCCGCAGTCCCCCTGCCCCCAGGCATGAACCTGGAGGCGGCTGGGCCATGGCCTCCCCGCTGCCTGATGGGGGCTGAAGTCAGCCCAGGGCCCTGCCTTCTTCACTACGGTGGGGACCACGGGGAGACTCAAGGGCACTGTGACGTGGACGCGGAGAGGAGTGAAGGGCGTTGGTGTCAGGGGTGACAGCTGCGTTAAGTCTGATGATGAGAAGGACTCTCCAGCCCCTCCAGCTGTGTCCCTAACACCTGTAGTCTCGTCCTCAGGGCAGGGGGCTCCTCACCTCCTGGGCGGCCTGTCTTTGACGAGCCCCGGGAGGCTGGCGGTGCCCGAAGTGGCCTGGGTGTCACTGTGAGGTTGTGGTGAGCTTGGTGCCGACGAGGTGGGGCGTTAGTGTTGAGAAGGGCGGGGGGCCCGCGCAGGGCCCTCATCTCCACTCCCTGCTTCCTCTCCCGAGAACAGGTGAGCTTGTCTTGCTCCCCCAGTGCCCCCACCGCCGGGAACCAGTAGTCCTCCTCACCTGGAAAAGTGGTGCAAGAGGAAGGGACCGCCTGCGAGGGCAGGTGTGTGTGCGTGTGTGTGTGCGTGCGCACACGAGCGTGTGTGTGAACTAACCCTTCCCAGGCTCCAGGGCACTGACCACTGTCGTCGTGGTTGTCATTATTCCCACTCTGTTCCTGCAGTGGAAGACCCACCTGATGCTGGTGAGTTGGGGCTCACTGGTTGTACTGGTTTCAGGCTAAGCCTTCATCCAGAGCCCACCAGGTGTATCTCTGAGGCTTTTTGGAGCTAAGCGCTCGCCACAGCCCCCCACCCCAGCCTGCAGGTTAACCGGAGCCCCCAGCAGGTCAGGTGGTGGAGGTGGCTGCGCCAGACGCCTCCCCGGGGGCACCAAGAGTGAATCTACCCGGTTATCCTGAACCATTTGGGCTGCGGTTTTATGCCCACAGTCACACACTCAGGCACTTTGGGGGTTTGTTTTCCATAAATATTGCCTTTTCACAGCTGCCAGCTTCTGCATGGTTTCCAGAGTATCACACTCTTGTGTATGTGTTCTGGGAGTGAGATGGCGGGCGGAGGGGGGCTGCAGAGCTGCCCTCAGGTTTTCGCAGCAGATGGGCAGTTGGGGCCAGACCATGCGGAGAGGGCACTGGGCCCGCCCTGAGGTGAGGGCACTAATCACTTATGCTCACTTGGGGGAGGGACAGCGGTTCAGGTGGTTTTAGCTGCTGAAAAGGGAAGGGCGGGAGCAGGTTTATCTGTGTTCCCAGGATGGGAGTGAGCTTGTAAACTGGATTTCTCAACCTCAGCCCCATGGACATCTTGGGCCAGTGGTTCTTTGCTGTGGGGACCACCCTGTGTGCTCTAGGAGGGCTGGCTGTGTCCCTGGCCCTGCCCACTGGATGCCTGTCACACCCCTACCAGTGGTGACAACCGGAGGCCTCTCCCTCCCTCTCGGTGTGGCCGAGTGTCCTGGGGCCAAGCCCGCCCTCAGCTTGGAACCACCTTCGTGGACCGGTGGCCAGGGCTTAGTTTGGAGGAACTCAGTCTGCTGGCCATGCTCAGTGTCTCACTGTTAGGGCCAGCGGCTGTGTCCCCTCACGATCTCCAGGCCACTCTGGCTCTCCTGGGGCACCGTCCGAGGGACTTGGGTGCCTGGAGGAGGGGGAAATTTGGAGCTGCCTTTGGTGCCTGTGGATGCCTTCCTGAGTGGCTTTCCTGGCCCTCAGATACCTGGTTTTGTTTGGATGCTGGGGAACAGGGCCTCCTTGGCTCTGGAGGAAGACAAGCTTAGAGGGTTTCTAAAGCTCCTGCGACTTGAGGTTATCTCTATGGGGACATATCTGCCTCAGCATTGAGCTTGTCACAAATCCCCCTTCAGTGTCTGGCCTGGTATACAGTAGGTGCTCATTAAATGCCTGTTTAAAGGCTGGTGCAGATTAGAAGAGCAAGCTCCTTTGTAGGTCTTGGTGTCTGGGCCCATCTAAGGCTCCAGAGTTGGCATCGTGTTCTTTGGAGAGGTAGGGTGGGAGAGGGGGTGGTGGGTGGGCAGACAGTGTGGCTGTCCACTTGTGCCACCTGGGGCTCCAGTGAGGAGGAAAGCACTGCCTGGCACCGGCCACCTCGTCTCCTCCATGGCCGGCTGCAGTGGTGTGTGTCGCCTGAGCACCTAACTTTGGGTGTGTATTGTCATCCACAGACAGGCAGATGGGCTGAACCGTGTCTGAACAAGGCTGTTCTGGCTCCACGTGAAACCTCTGGGGTCTTCATCTGCTAATCGTGCACTGTAAATTCCATCCTCTCACAGCTCCCAACCTCTCTGGTGGTTTTCTTGTGACAGTTTTTTCTTCTGCTGTGAATCTGATTTTTAATAACTCTAATCTCAGGATGAAGGAGGTGATCTGGACTCTTATTTAAGAGTAGCTGCCTCTTGAGTCTTAAGTGAGACTTCCTTTGAGTGTGTTCTCAGTGATAGAGTCATTGTGGGAAACGTTTACCTTATGTGGTTTGGTAAAAGCAAAACAATGCCCCACTTTTCCCATCAGTCTAAAACTAGAAAACTAATTGAACTTAAAGGACATTTTTGAGGATTATTAATTCAAAGAGAACATAAAGTTGAATAGTTAGCTGCTCACAGCCAGTTTCATCCTTTGATTCACTGCTTAGAGGGGGAAAAAAATTAATGGGCTTCAATTTCCCATAGAAGT